ATATCTGTAAATTGATTTAGTAAAGAGAATTGATAAATAGGAGAAATTGTTAAGTATGGATCATAAGTTAAGGGTAGAAATTGTAACTTCGAGGGTAGAAATTATAACTTCGAATATTTACTCATCCTTCTGCCAAACGCAATAAAGTAAGAATAACTGAAATAACTGAATAAGCCAATGTTAAAAAAAAAAAATAATAACCTGATGTTGCAAGGATTCGAAACCGGGTTCTTATTGTATTCAGACACACGGGCTTTAACTAGCTAAACCGACACATATTAGTGATAAAATTCTGAAAACATTAAATATATTAATATCTTAATCATATAATTTTGCAATACTCCTACGGCACGTCCTTGTACAATGCTTAAGGCGATAGCTGGGTAGCAGGAACAACTTTTAATTTATTATGAGCCTGGATTCAATAAGTTCTTGCCAATAACCAGGTCCACTGAATAAAAACATTAAACTAAAAGCCCATACAAAATGAGCACCTAGGAAAAAAAGGTCATATGCGGATAATGAAGAACCATAAGACTGAATTACCTGGGATGCCTGTGCCATAATTTTTTTTCAGGCCCTGTCCGGCCGCACACCTTACCCCTCCCTAGAGTCGGGCCCGATAATATGCATTAATAATCAATACATAACAAAAAAAGAAAACAGAAAAAAGTTAAAAACGAAGATTCAAAATTTAGGAAAACAAAATATTATGACATAAAACAAAGGTTATAATAGAAATAGAATTTTTTTTTTATTTTAAACTTAATTTTGATAACTGTTTTTTTAGTCGTTTTATAATAGAATTGTTTAAACTTAATTATATAAAGTTACACAAATGGTCTTGTGTGTGGAGAAGAAAGGAAACAAAAAAGATTCAAGACCTGAACATCCGCAGTTTTTGTACAGCTCGCCGGAGTCCATGGCAGAAAACCAGCTTGGTTCGCCGGAGCAGAAGGCATTGTCACGCACTCACGCTGCATGGTGATGGGCTAAATACTAGGCCCACATTTTCCATTTTTAATTTAAACAAAACGTGCCTAAGTAAGGACCCTTACGTTTATTGAAGGTTCAAGAATTATATCTTTATGGAAATTCTGAATGGTGGTATTTTTAACACGTTAAGTTACGTTTCGAAAAATAAAATAAAATACCTATTTATTAGAGTTGATTCCGTGATTTATTTATTTCAATTTCATATATAAGCTATTATAAGAATATTTAAAATGTTTGAAAAGAAATATAAGTATTCATATTTTAGAATTATTTATAGTTTTATGGTTTTATGTTCATATTTTTATTTTTCAAAGATTTTATGCTGTAAATTATCATATTGTAAACTAACGGATTTCTGCAACTGCTTCTTCAAGTCGTTTCTCCGATCCGATTTGTAAAATCCTTTTGAACTTCCATAATAATGGCGCTGCTGATACGAACAGCATCTTCGAAAGCAACTGCAAATTTAGCTTGTGGCGGCGACAGGTACTTAAGTACACAGGATCATACCCAGAAGCGATTCTGCAAATATTATCAAGAAAAAATCTTTGAAGAATATCTTGGAGATCAAGAACAGTATCATTAGCAGCAACAATGGTTAATGTTGGGATTAAACGTTGGGTTATTGACATAAAAGCCCCAAATTTTACACAAAATGTTTGGTTTTGTCACATGTCCATTTTTTGGTGTGTTAATCCCGTAACAAACCGGAAAATTGGTTCACTTTTGCCCTTTTCCCAGTTTTTACCTCTTATAGCAGGTCACCAGACTATTCATCACTATCATCATCACACTACCATCATCACCATCGTCCCACCACCATGAATCAACACCATCCCACCACCGTCAACCACCATTTAACGCCAACTTCATTCGAGTAGAAATACATCTCCTTTGTAGCTATTTCACTCTAGATATTTGAAGTAGAAGCAAACAAATGTAACTAAATGGCTTCATAATAGGAGATTGTGGAGATGCTTTTCTTTCAGGCATTTCATCGAGCACCTTCAGTGCACTGTTTTTCTTCTCCTTTTTCTAACCCCGTTTAGGTACCATGACTGAACACATAACTTCACAATAGGCACAATCAAAGACTCTTTGACTACTTGAAAGCATATGCGAATTCAAGACCATTCAAACCAAACAAAGTGCAATCAAAAAGTACTTTAAAGACATTAGAGTTGTAACAGGGGCAACTCCAAAAGTTGGGTTTGATTTTTGCGATTTAAAATAAGTAATGAACTGATAATCGGTTAATAATATTGTAACTGAAGTCGATTATAAGTAGAAACAGGGGAGACGAGAGTTATA